GGCGTGTGTGCGTGCATGCCCAAGATCCTGAGAGGAGAATGGAGGAGAAGGGATTGCAGCGTGACCATCCCCTCTGGGGGGTGATTTCTCGCTTTCTGTCTCTCTCTGTCTGTCTGGCGAGCGCATGCGCCCTATAGCAAAAACCTCTCCCCCCCAAAAAAAAAAAATTTAAAAGTCTCAATTTTAATTTTCTAACAACATTGATATGTACCTGTTCATCCATCCATATCACATTAAAAAAATAAAACCTTGGAGTCTTCAGTGTTTTTTTTTTTTTGACAGATTTTTGCTATAGGATGTTTGCACTCACTAGAGAGAGAAAGGGAGAAATCATCCCCCAGAGGGGATTGCCACGCCTCAGTTCCCTCTCCTCTGTTCTCCTCTCAGGATTTTGGGCACTCACACATGTTCCCGGGATGAGTTTTAAGCTACCAGGTCTGGGACTTGACCACGGTCAACCACATGGGAGTCCAGCACCTTAACCACTATGCCACCTGCTGGTCCCCATCAGTGACTTTTAAGATTGTAGAACTTAGACCACAAGTTTGCGCATCGTTGGTGTAGCGGTAGCCTCACTCAGATGGGTGATTGGACCTGACGTCTACGGAGGCTCCGTTGAGCTCTTGTTTTCTCTGACTCCATCCAGGTCGGTGCCTCATGCCCGGCAGTGTGCGAGGTGCTCTGGTTGAAGGACAGGCTTTTGTCATTTGGGATACCCCCCAACATTCTGCCTCTGCTCCAGGGGTAGACAGCTTGAGAGTCTCCTTCATGTTTGCTTTTCTCAGCCTCAGCACTCGTGAGTCTTGTATCCATATGGTGTTGTACTCAGAGCTCCCAGGGGGCTGCTTCAACTCACAGTCATCTGGAGGATAGCCAGAGGGATTTAGGATTTTCTCTTTTCTACCCCTCAGGGATCGATGTTTCTTGGCAGGGACCCAAGCCCCTTCTTGCTCTACTCACTCAGAACCTTAATTTCTCCATCTATCCCCCAAACGCAGTCATATGTAGTTGTTATTATTATTTTCCTCTCCCTGTAGAGAAAGATGGTTATTGAAGATGAAACAGAGTTCTGTGGGGAAGAGCTGCTTCACAGTGTCTTACAGTGTAAGGTGAGTCCTTGCGGCTAGAGCCAGGCTTGCAAACCTTGCGTGCTGGGCTTTTGAGTTGGTCATGGGACGGCTGAAGTTAAGGTTTTTCCTGAGAGCAGATATGTACCTTAGTACGTATCTCCAAGATGTCAGTTTTTCCTAAGCCAGAGACAGAGAGACAAAGGTGGGGGGGAGGGGGAGAAAGCAACCCCCAGTGGCGTGCAGTCACACTGCAGGCCCTTCTCTGTTTCTCTACCTTGTTGAGATCGTGGACACACATGTACATGTATGGTCCCCAGAGTGTTCCTCAAGCTGCCAGGGCTGGGCTTCAAACTGTGCACTTGGCCATATGGGATCTAGCTCCCCTAACTACTAGCCCATAGGGCTGGCCTTCAAGTGTGCCTTAATATCAGGACTTTGGTCCCTTGGGAAGTTGCTGCTGGTGCAGAGAGGATAGACAGATTTGCCATGGGGATTAGCAGTGCCAAGAGGTGACTCCACATGTAGCAGCAGGTACCATTTTTTAAACGACTTACCGTGTACCAGGCACTTGCTTACTTTTTTTTTTTTTTTTTTCCTTTTTTTGCCATTTTACTGGTGAGGTAGTTGAGGTTAGAGTGATAGAGCAGCTTGTTTAGGATCACACAAGGAATTTCAGATTCGAGATGATGCAGGAGCCTAGCTCTTCAGAGGCCTGTGAGTCAGGTACTGCCAGATCCCTGTTCCTTCCCGGAGGGGCTAGGCTGCTGCTCACACTGGGGCTCTGATTCTGTCTGACAGAGTGTGTTCGACGTCCTGGATGGGGAAGAAATGCGGCGAGCTCGGACCCGAGCCAATCCCTACGAGATGATCCGAGGAGTCTTCTTCCTAAACAGGTTTGCTGGGCTCTCCCTCCCCTCTCCTGACATGCACTGCTCCCCCTGTTCTTTGAACCTCAGCTTTCCATGTGTCTGGCACTGAGCTGTACGTTTCTGTCTTGCTTTGTTGCAGGGCAGCGATGAAGATGGCTAACATGGATTTTGTGTTTGATCGCATGTTCACAAATCCACGGGACTCTTATGGGGTGAGAACAAGATTCTGCTTCTGCTTTCATGGTGCTAAGTGCTAAGTTATAAGCTTCAGTGGCTAAGAAATTGCCATCGGTTCAGTGCAAGGAGAGTTCCTGCGATGTGATAGAGATGTATTTTGCTTTGAGTTCTCAGGGTTCGACAGTGCTCCTGCAATTCTTGGAGTGTCCCAGTAAGCACTCGTCTCCAGGGATTCGGGCCTAGAGTCCCAGCCCCCACTCTGCAGATCCTGTTGCTTGCTCCAGGTGGACCTAGATAGGCTTGAGCAGTAGAGAAGGGACATTCCTGGCAGAATCAGCAGCTGAGGCATCCGTAGGACTAGTAACCGTGAGTTATGACCTGGGCTGCCCTCCTGCATTCACAGACACTAAGCCCCTGCTTTGTGCCACTTAGAACGAGAAACAAGTGTAATCCTTGTCCCACACTGCTTATATCAGGGTGTTTTCTGGTGGCTGTGAGAGCGAATTAGGGCACAGGGCTGGGATGTTCATAAAGTCTTCTTGTTGTCTGGAAGCTTTAGCCTTCCTCCTTCTGTCGTGGATGAGGACGATTAGAAGAGTGAATACAATGAGCTTACTTTTGCAGATTGAAACTTGTGATATCATCTGTTTCTGGTATGAGAGAAGAGTACTCTGGGAAATGTGGTTTGGGTGTGGAACAAAATATGGACATATCCGTGGACATTTTTAATGGTCTGTTTAAAATCAGTGTCATGTCTGAACATTTCCTCTGTTGGGGTGCCATGGAGAGAGGCAGCATGTTTGCAGCAGGAGCATCTCTCACGTTCACACCTTCTCTGGGCCTCAGCTGCCTCCTTCTGCAGTAAGCCCTGCTAACTTACTGGAGTTCTAGGGTAGAACCAAAAGGCTCATAAGATCTGTTCCAACTCTAAGATCTGTAATTATTTTTTTTGAATTTTATTTTATTTTAACTTTATTTATTTATTCATCCATTTTAATTTGACCAGAGAGGGACAGAGAGAGAAAGAAAGAGGGAAAGTGAGAAAGCAAGCTGCCGGATCTGAGACTCGAACCACGGTCAGCCATGTGGGAGTCCAGCACCCTTAACAACCATGCCACCTGCCGGCCCCAAGATCTGTAATTTCAGACTGGGCCACTTCCTCTCTCTGCCTTTCTGAACAAGCTTTATATGGGATTATAATTAGGAGGCTTTGGCCCTTCTCAAGAAGTGGAAGAGCAGAATGATTTTCTACTCCGCTACGTCTCATTTCTTTGAACACAGACCCTCCATAATGATAGAGAAAGAAAAAAATGGAAATTTCATTCTGGAATTCCCTTCAGGGTTTCAGAGCATTTTTATGCAGTCCTAGAAAGTTAGTTTTCTTTGACAGTGACGGAGCCAGGGGCCAGCTGTCCCCAGACGTTTTTCTGCTTCATTCACCCTCATTCCACTAGACCCCCTGATTATCTTCCAGCTAAAGAAGCTTATTTTCCACATTCTTTAATATTTCAGTTCCACCTACCTAACTCCATGCTGGTAAAACTGGCATGTAGACCCCTCCAGCCTTTACTCATTTTTCTCTCCCAGGTCTTCTTCCTCATTTTCCAGTACCAGCAGGCAACACAAAAGGGCTCTTGGAATTAGCATCTTGAGAGAATTAGGTTGATATAATGTTGATTTAATTTTCTGAGTTCCAAATGATTTCCTTTAAGCCCCTGCCTGGCACAGAAGCTCTGTCAAGCTGATGGGGAGTCACAGCATCAGTTTGGGCTTTTGAATGTAAACGCCTCCAGCAGCTGGTATCTGGTTATTGTCTTTTGCTGTCATGAAAATGAAGTAGGCACCAGGGTTGTACCATTCAGGTCGAGGGTAGAGATGTTAGTTACACAGAGAAAAGCAGCAGTGTTTGTAACGCTGCAGGCAGCTTCTTGACCTGAATTGATTGTTAGTGGCCATGGAGAATTGCCCTTTCAGAGATGTTTCTCTGCACTCCACTATAAAAAGTGATTTCTCTCCAACCCCTAGTGTTTCCTTCTCTCTTTTCATCTCTCTTTTCCCCTGAGGAACAGAGTGACAGCCAAGCCCAGCAGGCTTGGTATATTTTTTAGGCGAGCAGAGACACTAGAGGAGTCCCCAGCAAAGGTCGGAGTAGCTGAAGGCCCAGGCACATGCTCAGGATTGCCAGGGTCTTGGCGATCAGGCAAATTACACACTAAGAGCAGAACTTGAAGCTTCAGGGAGTGTGGAGAGGTTGGGAGGTGGGAAGTTGGGAAGACTGAGGTTTTTAAATAGTTCACTGGGTCTGAAGGTTGTGGTAAAAGGAGAGGAGGGACTTGGGGTGGGGAGAGAATTTGTAGACAGGAATTGGAAGAAATAAGAGTAGGAGGGGAGGGACCAGCAGATGGTGTGGTAGTTCAGGCTCTGGACTGTGACATGGTCAGCGTGGTTCGAGTCTTAGACCTGGCAGCTTGCTTTCTCATTTTTCCTTTCTCTCTGTTTCTCTCTCTCTCTGGTGAGCATGTGTGCCCTGTAACAAAATTTAAAAATAGAATAATAAATAAAATAATTTAAAAAAAAAAAAAGGTCAAGCAAAAAGAGTGGGAGGAGAATTTAGATCCTTGGGGTTTATGTGAATATACACTAGACTGTTACGTTGCATGAGGAATTTGCCTGAGGATGTTGTTGAGGTACGAAAAGCATTGTCCGCGAAGCATAACGGAAGACAAAAACTGAATATAGACTTCTAAACTTCAGTCCTATTTTAGATGAGATTAGACAGCATTGATTAGGTAGTTGGGAAAGTCATGAGGTATTTTTCTGTTTTTCTATGCAAAAATGCCTCATGACTTTCCCAGCAGCCCAGTACACTAGCCACCGAGTGTGGAGTACTCCACTTAGCCTTGGAGAGGAAAAGACGGAAAAGGACAAGATTTTGACCCCAAGGAAGTTGATCTACTTGTTGAATACGATACCATCTGACATTTACTACTTTACAGTTTAGAAAGGTCTTCGACATAGGATACTTTATTTAATTCTAGGACAGCCTTAAGAAATACCCACATGAATCCCAGTTTACAGGTGAGGAAGCTGGGGCTTAATGATATAAATTGCGTGCTTGCTCCTGACTACTCAGTCAGTAAGAGGAGCAGCGAGAGCCCCAGCAGGCCTTCGTGGGAAAGACCTGCCCACTGCCTGGGCGGCGTGCATCTTCATGTCACAGGATGAGATGTTAATGCCTTCTTTTCAGGGCTGAGAGACTTTCATTGATTTGTCCCTCCTCCTTCCCTGGACCAGTGGTCACCAGAAAGCCTGGCGCCTGGGGCTCAGGTGTGCCAGCGGTGAGGAGCATTGCTTTTCCTCTTCGCAGTGTGTGCAGGGCCTGAACTCCTGCCTTGTTGTAACTGAGCTGCATGGCAAGTGCTACACAGTGCTCTTGGTAAATGCCTTTAGGTCTCTCTTTGTGTGCAAATGAATGTAATCCAAAAATATGAGTAATAGAGGGCACAAGAACAAAGAATGCTGGGGTGGAGTAACGGGGAAGGGGTTAAGAACTGAGAAGTCCCAGCATGCCTGGGGGTGGGCTTGTCACAGGATGATGAAGTTTATGTTTTGCTGAAGGCACTTTCTTTAGAAACTTTTTCACAGTGCTAATAAAGCCAGGTAGTTATCAGCAGAGGCAAGGCTTTGGCCACCTAGAATTGACTGGGTAATGACATTAGTATTTTTCTGTTTCTCCTCCAGCCTTCCCATGCCTTCTAGCGGTAGAACTCTGGACAAGCACTCAGCCATGCCACATTGTAGAGAGGAAAGGCTGAGGTCTCTAGGCCCCTTTCCGCTGTGTGTTCCTCATGGTCCCAGGCCAGCCCTAGTCCTCTGCTGTCACCCATTTATGGAGCTAAGCTTCTGGTCTCCTGTGCACAGAGTCCATCCTCTTTGCTGTGGAGAATGGGTAGAGTACACCACCTAGGGCTGAGGTGTGGGTAAGAGCGTCTCTGACATTCATGTGAAGGGAACTGTAAACGCACAGCGGCGACCATGGGCTGGGGAGGAGAGAAAGTTTTTAGCGGGATCAAACATGTAATCAAATACAAATGCAAATGAGCACTGTAGTCGAGTTGATCATGAGATGGTGGGTGCTAGGAGAGTTGCCTGGAAGCTGCTGTTGCTGCGCAGCAGGGTCTCCTTCCCCCTTGTTAGCTCCCACCGTGCACGGCCCCTGATGCACACAGGGCAAAGGCAGGAGAAGGAGGGGAGGAATGCAAAAAAGGAGGAAGACCAAATGAAATGCGGGGCCTTTGATTGGATCCTGGAACAGAAAAAGGATGCTAGTAAAATCTGAAAAGTCTAAAAGTCTGGAGTTTAATTAACAGCAGTGTACCCAATCTCGGGTTCTTAGTTTTGCCAAGTATCCCATGGTTATGTAAGGTATTAACAAATGGGAGCCTGGGTAGGGGGTACAGAAACTCTGTCCTACCTTGGTAACTCTTCTGTAAATCTAAAATTATTCCAGAATAAAAATGAACTGGAAGACAGAGAGCCAGGGAGGAAGGGGGGAAAGGCAGGCAGAGGCTGTAGCCTGGGAAGCAGGTTCTCGAGGCTGTGAGCGGGTGTTGGTAGAGAGCCACCTCGGGCTGAGCAGGAAGGCCGAAGTCCAGCAGTCTGGCTGGTGATGCTGGTTAGCTTCCTTGCAGACAGGCTGTGAGCAGCCGCCTGTGACTTGGTGCCTCTCTGTCCTCTCTGATGTGGCGCGTGTAAAACAATGACTGTTCAATGACTTGTGAGAGGCAAGATAGGGTAAAGAAAAGACTGAAATAAAAATGCACGCCTCAAAACCATGGAGATGTTTTGATTAGGAGTTTGAGCTAGGTCTGGGGGCATAAAAGGCGTTTGGAGTATTTTAAGAGCTGGGCCACTTCAAAGGGCAGTGATCACAGAGGGCGCGTCCCCTGGGTGTGGCCCTGGCCGCAGCTCTGGACTGTGCTTGCGCGAAGGCTTATTTTACTGCCCTCGGGTTGCGGCTGGCTTCTGTGCTGATACCTGGTCTTGGTGTTTCAGCCAGGATTGAATGAAACACTCTAGTAGTGAAAGGAAAAGGTAGTTTAAGTAGAAGCGAAAGTACACTCCTGAGAGGTAGGAGCGGGCCTGAACAGACAGACAAAGAACAGCTTAAAAGGCCCTGGCTGTTACGTTCTACGAGTTTTAGGATTTTTAAAAAATTAATTAGTTACTATTTGTTTTGCATTTAATCATTGTGTATCACTGCAGTGTACCAAATAAGTTTTCCCGTCATGAATGCACTGTACTGGTTTAGTCAAAGATATTACCATACATATTATCATCAACTGGTAATTTTCCCTTTTTATGTCCTTTAAATGTTTTGCTTCTTTCTTTTTCCCCTTGATTACCTTCCGCTCACTCTCCCCCATTTCTCACCCTCCTCCCACACTGTCTCTAGTATCCACAGTTGCTCTCTGTGCCTTTATTCCTTCCAGTCTTTCAGTTCCTGTCACAGAGCGCAGACATTTGGTATGTAAATAGAGTGGGAGATATATAATTTTTTAATCCAGAGGACCAGCAGGTAGCGTAATGGCTGTCACTAGACTCCCATGTAGTCGACTGTGGTTCAAGTCCCGGATGCGGTGGCTTAAACTCACGCCAGGTGCGTGTGCGTGCGTGCCCAAGATCCCAAGAGGAAAATGGAGGAGAAGGGATTGCAGCGTGGCCAACCCCCTGGGGTGGGGTGATTTCTTGCTTTCTGTCTCTCTATGTCTCTCTGTCTTTCTGGTGAGCATATTCACCCTATAGCAAAAAAAAAAAGTCCAAAATTTTTTTAATCCAGGTTGTGTTTGTTGACCATTGGTGAGGCTACTGATTTCCTCATTTCATTGGCTCTATCAGATGTGGCTGAGCCCACTCATTTATCTCATTGGCTGTGTCAAATGTGGCTTAATCAGCTAACTTCCCCACTACCTTCCTGCTTATATTACCTTAGGCAGGGATTCTACCTTAGTAAGTTTTTCTTTTTATTTAAATTAAGAATTATTTTATTTTATTTTATTTTATTTATTATTATTATCTTTTAAATTTGCTTGCAGTCGTGTATGCTCACGGGGGGGGGGGGGGAAGGGGAGGGGAGAAA